GAGCAGGAAAGCTAAGGAAAAAGTTGAAAAATCGTTTTATAACCCCTTTAATATGACCGCGCCAAACAAGCGGGTCATTCATATAGTCCGTCGCTGCGCACTAATACAAGGTGACCGTGATTGTGAAATAATCATGACAGGTTCCTTACAGATGGCGCCACGGGAGTGATAGTAAAATCCATAGGCAAAGGAAATTTTCAGGTTTTCACCGGAGTGCAAATTTGATCCTCCTATTTCTATATTGAAATACATGGAACAAAGATCGTATTGGAGACATGTTAAGATATTACCTCCCGCAACGCGTTTTCAGAAAATCTATTTGTGCCTCTGTTTTCTTGAGAACTCCTCATGAATGGCACGTTGAAAAATGCGGCAGTTTGAAGGACTTCAAGCTCCTAAAAAATTTGTAGTTCCAAAACCTGGAAATGTGCGACCGCGCTACAAATTGGTTTTCTATTAACTTTTTAGTAAAACCATCCCGAAGTCAATCCGTCCAGTGATTGCTGAGCAGTCGGACCAAAAAGTTGCCATTGAAAATGCCTAGGGCCTAGAGAGCTGCGATATCTTAAGAATTGTCTGGGTTTGTAATCTACTGTCGCCATCTTAGATTATTACATCTATAACAGAGCCCAGTTTGTAACTGCTAACGACTTCAAATCCTCCCCTTGTCTAGCTAGCTTTGTTGTGCCGCAAGGTTTTGTTCTTGCCCTTCTTGTATTTCCATTTACATAAATGACCTACTTAACTCTATAACTTCATCTGACATAAACAAAAAATTCCCTATTGGTATTGATCATTTAAAATGAGTCTCATGAATAAGCGTAAATTGGCGTGAATTTCCCACCATACAGTCAGTGATAATGTTTGCCCCTACTACATTTCAGGTTCTGACCTACAGAAGTTTCTTGATGTGGTGTTTTTTGGTGGATTCTCACATCACATCTAGAAGAATCAGCGCATCTGGAAACTACTGTCGGGTGATTGTAACACTGTTCACGTGCAAAAACAAACTATCTAAAATAATTTCAAAAGTTAATGGAGAAGGTAACCTAAAAAAAAAAAGTGAAACGAACCACAAAGAAATATTTGTAAATTGCTAAGAAAAGTTGTTTATTCATTTCCTTTTTCTTGCGGCACGACTTATACTGGTCCAACTGGCCGCCTCCTGAAAGAAAGAGTAAAAGAGCACAAATATAAACTCACCGTCGCCAGACAATCACCCTCAAATTGCACATTCACGGATGCAAAGGCAGTGAAGCGAGCTTTTCATTAACAAGACGGAAGCCCTCAAACGGCACCCGGAACGAGTAGGCCGAGAGATAGTCGAGATATTCTTCATCCAGTGAACCATCAACAACGCCAGCCATAAATATCTTAATGTAACAGTAGAGGAGGAGAGATTTCTAAGGAAAGATTTGAGCGGCGGGAGCTTGGTCATGAGGAAAGGGATAAGCTTTCCTTGAGCAGAGAGAAAGTACCTTCCCGTATACGCTGACGCAAAAAAAAAAAAAAAAAAAAAACATTTTAAAGTTGAAAAGAGTCCTTGTTTCTCCTCTCGTGTTTGTGGATGTCCGTTGCTCACCCGTTAGCGTTCTAACAACCAAGAATATATGTTTAACCAACACGCTCTCTTCATTTTATCTCTGCTATCTAACAAGATTCAAGCCCGATGTGCAGCTCAGATAATTGGAAACAATTATACGTAATTACGAAAAGTGATCGGCTAAAATCTTACAGCTACTGTGTTGAGCATCCAAACAATCCGTCAAGATTGTAATTGCCGGAAATGATTAGCCCACATGTGACAGCACCTTTACAGCCGGCAGTTACAGCCGCCGGCCGTTACAGCCGGCCGTTACAGCAACAGGTCATTACAGAATTCCAGCAAAGTCGGCTGGTAAACACTCTGGTATGCGAACGCAAAAGAAGACAAAGGACACCTAAAAATACGTCAGACAGCAACAAGCTCTCCTAATTTTATATATTATAAAACATATTATATGTTATAAGGACGCCTCAAACTTTGTAGACAAGGACTCGCTCAATCATTCGATTTCGAAAAAAAGCGAGGGCGAACGGATCCCTGCTCTGCAGGCTTAAAATTCAACCGAGGCGCTTCGCTAGGTGTCCTTGATAGCCTGAGTTGTTTCTGAGTGTAAGTCCCTCGATTTTCTCGAGTGAGCAACTAACTGGTCGGGGAAAGGCGAGCGCGGAGCGCGCCACCGACACGCTACAGCGAACGATGGATCGCCGCTTGCTCCATTATCATTAGGAAACGATTACACGCAATATCTTCATCGCAGAAGAAATATTCCAGAGAAGGACAATATGATGAGCCCGATGACGACCGGTCGTGAATAATCAGCTCTCTTTTCGGGGGTCGCCGCCAAAGTTAGTCTGGTTGTGTTTTCCTCAAACTTGAGCCAGGGGCTATAGCCAGTCTTTTCCACATCCTACGGGTCATCCGACCGAAAATAAATGCACAAGGAAACTAAGAGCTTCGGAGAAGCCTGGGTGGATGCATATGTGGATATCTTGTCCTGTATACTCAGTTGTCTCATGCCAGCATCGCATTCATGCCATGCAGGGATGGGCAGTATTTCAAATACAAGTATTAGAAATACGTATTTTAAATACTTTGTGTATTTTGCATTTGTATTTAATTACAAATTGGGTAATGTATTTGACGTGTGCATTTAAATACTAAAACGTGGGTATTTCAAATAAAATTGTAATTAAATACAATTTTGTGGACGAAAGTACATCCCTCAAATTTATTGTCACTGTTCAGAGCAGGAAGAAAACTTCGCTTTTCACCGAATGCAGTGTCTCTCAATCAAGCACAAGCGTTTAGTGACTTTGTGATTACGGTGCTAGTCCAGGGCAAGAATAGTGACGAAATCGACGTTCACAGGCAGACTGGCTAAATAAGTGCCTGTGACAACTTGTGATGCTTTCCAGCCTGATTTCCATCCATATTTTTGCCTGGAACATTCTGAATACGCGGGTCGTTCAGATTTTCGTAACTGGTGCGAGTTGCAACAATAAAAACTTCTCTAGCTAGTGCTGCGCGTCTTGGTCATCTCGGTTCTTTGTTGGCCTATACCAAAATGTAATCGACAAAAAAGCTGCTTGAAGCTCTGTACTTTTTTCTCCTATTAAGTCCAAGCTGATTCCATTTTTTTGTGATTATATTTCTATTACGTTCCTAGAGCGTCGCACACTACCTCCTGAGTGCGCGATGCAAAATTGAAATGAGATACCCAGAAACCCGTTGCAGGCACCCTAAGTCACTGACGTAAATTTTGAGGAATGTATTTGGAAAAGTATTTGGAAGAGACCAAATACATTTGGTTGTATTTGTATCTTGTACTTAAAGGCTTCTTGAAAATGTAATTAGATTTGTAATTAAATACATTTTTGACGAAGTATTTTGTATTTGTATTTCGATACATATTGGCATGTATTTTGCCCATCCCTGATGCCATGTATCATCAGATTGCAACGAATTTGCAAAGAGATAAGCAGTACATTAACTGGAAAGTTTCCAGGTTTTCGAAGGAAACCCGCTCAATAAGTTCAACGCTTGTTTTATGAGTAACGATAAATAACGATGAGTATAAATGGTACCGGCAGTACCTAAATACCAAGACAGTAGTAGTGCTTGAGACAAAAACAAATTTGCAAGTTTTCAGTGAAGTTTTGTAGCACATTTCTTGATTTCTTTTACATTAATTCGTAACAACTTCATTCGTAACCGCGGAGATCGATCTCCATCCATAAAATTCTCATATATTGAACTTAAATTTACAACTTTCACACTTTTCAAAAACGTAAATAAAATAAATTCGAAATCATCGGAAGTTTTGAAATACGAACAACCACAAAATCTTTGAATTTTCGAACTTGATTTGTCGATAAAATTGAACCCTTCGACCTCAAACTTTCAAGAATCTTGATATTTTAGATTTTTGTTATCGAATTCAAACCTTCGTGGATTCGAAATTTTTGAACTTTTGAATTTCGACTTTAACACGGTTCGAAAGTTTCGAAACTTGAACTTGGGGAGGTTCGCGGCATCCCTACTTTTACTGGAGCATCCGACACTACAGCGCGTTTAGCCAGCAAATCTGCACACGGCAAGCGTCGGGAAATAACAAGAAGCTCCCATCAAGTTGCGCAGTCGATAGTTGGCACATGTCCCATGTTATTACGGGGCTATCATTTATTCAAGTAGTTCCACCATATAAGGAAAGCCGCTTTCTCTTGCGCGCTATAAATATCCGCGCAACCAAATGCACGTTTCCAACAGATTTCTGAAGCAGGTCATCGAGAGGCACGGAATATTTCAGCTTCGCGACCTTTTTCTGTCTCTGCCGTTGATCTGCAATCACCACTCAAATTCCAAAGGTTGGTAAATTAAATATTTGTCTTGCGGCTTTATATTTTTTTTTGTTCACGAGCAGTAATACAACTTGCTAGTGCCCCTAAATTATGAATACTATATTCGTAGGGTAAATGTTAATTCACTTCATTCGAGCCACGTCACTATACTCATGGACTAAAATTAGGGAGAAAAAATGGTCGGACTCATGAATGAAGTATGTACTTTTTAATTTCCCCCTGCGTATGTTACTATAACTCCGCCTCATATGAACCACAACGAAAGCTAGAAGCCATCTCGTTCATTCAATTGACCCGGGACATCACACTGCGCGCGTCCCGCCGCCCAGCAACAAGGTCACGTGACAAACATTGAGCTCTGGATGTATCAATATGAGCTTTTCATAGATCGTGCGCTGCGGATACTGGCCACTGTGGGAGCACGTCGGGTTCCTGCTCAAAGTGACGGCTCAAACTCCCGCTAGTAACGCAAAGCTCTTGCACGCGATCTACGAAAAGGTCGTATTGACGTTGACACGGGTAAAGCTCATTGTTCTTGCTAAGTACCTCTTTCTGTCTCAATAACTGCGGTTTTTGCTACTTTATACCTTTTACAGCACACTGCAAATACTTCAAGCTGACGGCGATGTCACTCCTGCTCGTTATCTTCGCGGTCTTACTTACACTTGGCGGAGTCATTCATGCTGCTCACGCACAAAATACGGCCGCAAATTACCCGGAGCTCAGACCAGAACTCGGGAAATATCAAGACGATTCGAAGGTAAGCCTTTCTATTCTGACAAGTTTACATCTCAGGGATTCGTGTTTTTGTTTGTTTTTCTTGTTTTTTTTTTCGCTTAATATTATTCATTTTTCATAACCCCTTAACATTGTAATAAATTAAACCATCATGTAATCGGCAGCGTATTTCCACCTACGTAATAAGATCCTGAAACAGAAAAGAAACTCGGGGACAAGTATGTGCAGCATTTACTAAATGAGGAGTCTACGTGAAGAGCGCTCTACTGAAGACGTGCTTCTGTACATCGCGTTTGGTTAGCGATACTATCCTCTTCCCTGATGAGCGATACCATAACCACCGATACCACCCTATTCCTTGCTGGGTGTTCCCGTCTTGCCAGGGTTACACATGAAAAGAAACGACTTCCATGTAGTCTAAATTTGACCTTTCTTCCGCAGTGTTTTCCCCTGAAAGAGACTTGGTACGTAACGTACCGAAGCCACGAGATCGACCCGGGCTTTGGAGGAAAAGCGAAGTGCGTGAAGGGTTCTCAAACCGGTCCAATGGTGGCTGGAACGGCTCCGATGCTCCTTCACATCGGAGGAACGAACATGTAAGAGGAGAAAATGACGATCACCTATTTTATGCAACTGGAATTGTATAGAAACATGTCTTCTCAACTACGGTGCTGTGGGTGGCGAGTTGCCGTCTGGGAGTATTAGCGTCATCGGAGTGTTTATGAAATAGCGGCAGCAATACGTACTACAGGAGTTGCCTTGTAGAGGCTGACCACGATTTTGGTGGTTGGTATAGGCACTGAGAGCTCCAGATGCGTAAGGCGTAACAACCTCCATGCGTCGCATCATCGTTTTTCGGCCAATGAGATTGCTGCCTCAGCCGATAAGTGCACCGAAGAACGAATCACAAAGCAAGAAAGGTGTCCATAATGGCGATCTTTAGTAAATCATTCTGATAACTCCAAAAACGATACCCGATTACTATATGATGCACGAGCAAAGGCGTCAGCGTCATATCGAGCACCGTTACCGAACGTATCAGAATGATCTACTAAAACTCCCCAGTAAGCCACGCCTGGTGCTTCTCAAGCTCTCATCAGTGACTATAGAGTAAGCAGCAACGCCTGCAACGACTGGTGGGCAAGGTCGTCGCTGTCGTCGTGGCGTAACAACTCGTGACTGCAGGAGTTTCTGTTGACCAAGCCCGCTGCAGGGCTATCAGCGGCCTAATGTTACATTGGCGCCCTCTTACGGCTTCCGTTCGTGGATTTGCTTCGCCGCGATGTCACGAGTTGTAATCCTGGCTACACTTATCATCAGTTGCGAACTACAAGTCCGGAAATGTGTCTAAAAGTCCCGATGAAAGCTTGGTCACTAAGTACGCCGTCTGACGTTCCTCTTATTTCCGCGGATGAAAAAAAAATTAATAATCGAGTGAAGACAACATAAACCTATGCGGAACGCAAGTTCGTCTGCTTCTTTGGCAGGGGTTGTGGTGACGTCAAAACGCCCGAGCTCTGATTGGCTCTGATTGAAGGATAGTGGGTTGATCTCAAGGCAGCTTGCTTTGAGGTCTACCTACTATCCTTCACTCAGAGCCAATCAGAACTTGGTGTTTTGATGTCACAACAACCCCTGCAAAAGAACCAGACGAACCTGCGCTCCGCATAAACAGACACTGTTTACAAACAACTTTAGCTACCCACAACGGGTCTTTGCAGTGCGCTTACTAAAAAAACCGATTCGCGTGAAGTGAGGCTTGTGCGCGCACGTGCCGAGACGAACAGTCATTTGCTTGACAGGGTCTGCTCTCCCGTCTTTTTTAGCAGAACGAGCTACAGCAAAACAACAGCGAAAAGATAACTGACATGTGTCTTAAAAAGATAGAAACAATAAATGAAAAAATAAACATGGAACAAACATTTGCGTTATTATTACAATGTTTTAAAAATATTTCTCCTTGATTTGAGAGCCATATTTTTGCATGCAGTTTTGAAGTAGTCACAGCCATAGTTGGTTCGACTTTGAGGAACAGTACTCGGGAAGTCATATGCCTCAAGCTGCGGTAGTGTTTGCTTTCAAACAAGAGTGTAATTAAGCTAGTTGAGGCATGTAAAGTTTATTTTCAGTTAGGTGTTGTAGTGCTAAAAATGATCATATATAGATGAGGAGTCGAAAGAACTTTCCTGTTATAAAGGAGGGGTTTAGTATGAACATCTCGGGGAACAGTTTGCAATTTTACTGATAGCATTTTTCGAAAGTACATGCCGGTGATAGTAGTGGCTCCCCAGAGCAGTGGCAGTCATTGATGTAAGATAAAAATAAAGAGCTATATAAAAGTACCCTAATTCTTTTTCGTAGCTCAAAGCGCCACCCGTTTACCACCTTTTTTTTCTTTTTTTGGTAGTTCAGATATAATTGGTTCAACTTATGTATTGCATGAAAAATGTTCGGTAAGTGTGTCTCTTAAACTTTTTTTTTTAATTTGCGCAACAATATCACCTCTGGTGGTACCAAGCAGAAAACTCTGAAACTAATTATACCTTTTTGACTCTTCTTAGGACTGAAGAGAATTGCTTAGGGTATGGTTCCTTTAAGAAATGCGGGGCTTGGCTTATCATCTTCACGTTACTTGCTTTGGGATTAGTTTATCATTGTTCTTCTCGGATAATACCGCAATCTGAATGGCCCGCCACACCCTGTGCTTCTTGGGCTGCCAACGACTATAGGCTGCACGGCTGAGAAGAACAGTCGGTACGATTGCAGTTGGGTAAGGCCATAGACACAGGAAGCTTCTGGAGGTGACATGACGCCACCAGAGGTGAAGCCAGAACTGTGGAGGGAGACGTCCCCAACGATCACCGAAATAACAGCTGTTTGGTCACTGAGGGTGCACCCGAGGGTGACCAAAACAGCTGTTAATTCTTTAGTTTTTTGTGTTTTTTTTTTTTTCTTTTCTCGAGTCTCCTTGTCTTTTTTTAATTTCGGTGAAACAATTCAAAATATGTTGTGATTATGTTCAGTTTTTTCATGAACATGTTGTTGTTTGAAAAAATGGCGCTCATGCATACCTGTACCGTCAAAACAGTAAAGCATGTTAATTTATAATTTAAAAAAGCAGCCCAGAAGTAACGTGCGTTACTTTTTATGAGTAACCGTAACGGTAACGCGTTCCTTTTATTTTGAGGTAACGTAGGTCGGTAACACGGTCCTTTTATTTGCAAGGAACGAGTAACCTATTTCGTTACTTTTTTTTGGTAAGGACAGTCGACAAAATAAAGTGAAAGTCGCGATTTTGACAATCGTCCGAGTTGTTCGGAGGTTCTATTTTTTTCTGTATTCCTCGCAACTCTTGTTATTTACGGGTATAACGTAGTCCAAATTAAACTATTAATATATAATAGCTTCTGCGATCCCCTCTAAGGCCCTATGAATTAAAACGTATATCCTAGTCAGACGGATAAATCCAGAAGGCGCAAAATGTGCTGCAAGTTTTGAGCTGCGCTTGGAGTTTATTTATGAGCTTTCCGGGGCTCGGGAGTAATACGAAGTTTCACTAAATTTAGAAAAATATAGCGTGAAAATCCTGCTTTCCTGCTAGGTAAATTTATCAGTTAAATTTCTTCCGGGGGTATGGTTGATCATGTTAACATATTACGCTTTTCCGTTACATTATAGCGTTTGTTTCCGTTTAACGCTTGCGTTACAGTTTACAGGTTCTTTTTATTACAGCCTATTTCTATGCGGAGCAAGCCGTCTGCTTCTGGCGCAAGCGTTCCGATGACGTCAGAACAACGTCGAGCTCTGATTGGCTCTGATTGCGAGGATAGTAGGTAGACCTTAATGCTAGATGCCTTAAGGCCTACCCACTATTTCTTGTCAATCAGCCAATAACAGCTTTTCGTTTTGACATCATCGCAACCCCGGTGCAAGAACCAGACCAACTTCAGCTCCGCATACACATTTTCCGTGGAAAACATTCCTTAAAGAAAAGCTCAAGCACTTTTCAGTAAATCTGAGTTAGGAGCGGACTTATATAGCTTTTTATTTTATCCTGTAAGTTTAGTTATAGCACTTATTTTTGGCAGAAGTAAACGTTAACCACATTTGTTTTGAAAAAATACTTGCAGCGTTTGCCCTCGGGCCTGCGGGAATCCTCTCTGCCGCGCTTTATCTGTCCAGATAGAAGTGACGCTAATGACGGCATCCCGGAGCCAGCTTAGTGGAGAAGAAGAGTCACCTGAACCCGCTGATGTCGTCACTTTTGCCAGCTTTTCTCTCCGCTCTCGCGCTTTCCTACCGTCGGCGCGCCGCAACAGGGGGGTCTGCGTCGAAACTTTAATCGGCTATTACGACGCACCTACTAATGAGATCCAAATAAAACTTAAGCCGCATAACTTTTAAGGTGTCTACATTACATCTTTTACTGTTTGTTTGAATTCAAGGACATTTTTAGTTTCACATTAAGGTATCAGCGCGGAGAATTTCTAAATAGGTACTTCAAGATGCATGCCCTTTTATAGTGACAAACCCGAGTCGCAACGTAGGCAAAGGTCGGTCGGTGAATGATGGAAACACAAAATAAGCAGCTCAAAAAGGACAAAAGAATAGTAGAAGACACACAGACAGCCTCCCGGTATAATGTTTGCGCTGTTTGGTTTATTTTCTATAAAGAAATAAAACTGCAATATGCAAATTAATAGTCTCTTAAAATGCGTTTTTAAGCACGATTTATGTGTATGCGTCTTATCCAGAAATGCAACTTATATCCTGAGGTCCACCGATGGTCATCAAGCCAAGAACGCTGGGGAGTTCAAAACGTCTCGTAAGTATGTGCCAATAATTTCGAACACTTAAGTGCCACACCAAAAGCTCGTATATCTAAAATACACCACGCTCATGTGCATGCTGTTAGACATACCTCGTATATTAATTATTATTAAAAATATTCATTAAATTTTTCTTGAGCGCATTAGTTGAAATGGTAATTTGTATTAAAATTACCTTTGTTGGAATTTTCTTATTTCTAAACAGACAAACACGAATGATTTTCATATCATATTATACTCTATATTTGGGCTTTTTAAAAAGGGGTTTCGAGATGAAATTGTGCCAAGGAATAACGTTTTTTTAAACTATACACCTCCTTCCAGTCTTTTCTATTTTAATATTGTGGGTAACTATCCCTGTATTTGTTTCTCAAAATTGATTACATAATGAAATATCCTTTACAAAAACGCAATCTTCTTTTCTTATTTCATGTGCGTATGTGTGCGGGTGCGTGTGCTTAAATAGATTGAAACGCTCTAGAACACGAGTTCTGAATTCCAAACCATACATCAAATATAATTACATTACGCATTGAAACATGGGGTCAGATTTCTATGCTACTCTAATAATTATCAGTTTATTCCCTAATAACTGGAAACTTAAGGTATAGCTTTATTTCTGAACTTATTTCTTCCTTTGGTTAAGAATCACTCGATGACTTGCATATGATTATTTTTACTACATGTCCACCAGCGTTATTATGTATTTTGTACATTGCGAAATTCCTGTCTGTCATTATTCGTTAATATTCAAAAAAAAACTTGCATATTCACGAGTGTAATATACATAACAAAAGTGTTAGGTTATTTTTGTAACACAAAGTTCGTGTGCTGAAAGCAGCAAGGAATGTGCCTTAAAGGGCCCCTGAAAAGAAAAAAATGTTCTTTTTTTCTTTTTTTTAAACAGTCCGACTGGGACACGCGTGTCAAAAATAAATTTTACGCGAAAAAAAAAAGTTTTAGAGCAATATTGAGGGCAAAGATTTATTTAAAATTCTGCGCGCGAAGTCCATGACGTCACTGGTCATCGGAAGTCACCATCTCGGCTGTGAAGGCGGCCGAAATGCCGAGAGAGAAAATAAGTGGAAAGGAGGTGACTGCCGACTAAATTGCGTCTCGCGCCGTCATATTGCTCTAAAAAATGTTTTTTTCTCGCGTAAAATGTATTTCTCGACGCGCGTGTCCCAACCAGACTGTCTAAAAAAAACTTGTTTTTTCTTTTTCAGGGGCTTTTTAAAGTTGCCTACTAAGTTTTGCGAAGATTTTTTAAAATTAATATTTGCCAATATAAGTGTTTTTTTTCATTAACAGAGGGATCAGTGAATGTCCTGATTCCTTACGTGGACTGTGCGACTTGCAAGGTGTTCAGACATCCTTACATCACAACAGGTGAATTCAACAATTTTTTGCCAATTTTGTCATGGTGACGATCCCATTACAAACTAGAGCAGGGAAATTTTTAAAGCTTAATGTGAACGTAGTTTGCTTTGATATTAAGATTTGTCGTGCGAGTTTTGTTTAAATTTCTGCAGAAATAAGTTACACAGTAATCAGCTGTGTGTGTTGTTTTCGTCTCCGCGAATCAGCGTGAATGGGACGTCATCGTAGAAGTGCGGTACAATTTCACCGTTTTCTTTTATGAGATCTTGTGTACACGTTGCAGCGCTTTGCAACGAAAGCATCAGTGGTCGGTCGCGCTCTAACCTATTTATCAGTAAGATGTTCTTGCGATATAGTGTCCCAAAGGCCATGCATATTCTGTGGCAAAAACATGATCTCTCCTTTTGCACCTGAAATCGCAAAGCAGTTGGCGCGTGTCCCGGTAGGAATGTTGAAGTATTAGCTAAATTTATTGAAGAAAGATCAACAATTGCTGCTCCAAGTGTGCAAAGGTCGGTGGAGTCTAAAATTATGAATTTTCTGGGGGCGCATGCTGCTAGTTTTTATGCGCGTACGCTCTTCGTTGCACACTTGTTTAATATCCCCAGATATGACCCCTGTCAATTATTGACCAGCACAACTTTCTTTTTTTCATTTACCAGTGCAAACCCGAAATTCTTTTAGCGTAATTGTGTTGCATCGTTCAGAGATAATATAGTATCGGCGCGGGCGAGCTGGTGAGTGATAACCATGTTGAATAAACCTAAGACTGGGGCAGAAATGAACATATAAGTCAAATGAACAAAAAAAGACAGGACGACGTCTCAAACTCAGCTGAGTTTGAGACGTCGTCCTGTCCTTTTTTGTTCCTTCGACTTATATGTTAATTTATGCCCCAGTCTCAGGTTTATTCAACATGGTTTGCGTTCCTTGTTGTTTTTATCTGCTTTTATTACAGGTTCCGCTTGCAGCGTTTTGGTTCCGGAGAGTCAGCTGGGAAAGGCCACCTTCTGTGATTTTGTCTTCGATTTGCTTTGTGGAGCCAGTTCCAAATATCAGGTCTACGAGGATGGCTGCAAAGAAAAACGCTAAAGGCAACCGTCTCATCATTTGTTGCATTGAAGCGTGTAAACTGTAAAGGATTTGAAGACTCGCTTAACACTTCAATGGCAATGACCCTAGTCAAGTAGTGGAGACGATATTTGAAGCATTCGATTACAATGCGTGTAAGCTAGGCTAAGGTGATACATGCAATATTACTTGAAAAACAAAACCTTACATTAAACCGGCGTGGTGTCTAAGGAATTGTACCATTAGAGTATATTTTCTCATGTTTAGCTTAGTCGTATATAAGGTTCAGGGATCCAATGAGCATAGCAAAAAGGTATGAAATCACGGGTGATAGATATAGGTTCTGAAAGTCTCTTTGAAAGGGTAACTGAACTTAAAAATATACCGAAGTGCTCGGATAGCACTTTTTTTTCAGACAAGAAATCTCCGAAGCAAGTTTTAGCACAGTGTTTACATCACGAGACACATTTTCAAAGTTTGTTTCAAATGCGATTCTAAAACATGCTTCTTTTTTTTTTACGTTGATTTAAAATAAAGGATTGTTTGGAATCGCTCACGTGAATCTCCTGACGTTAATATTGATCTAAAGTTTATTTTGTGGAAAGTTTATTTTGGGGCATATATGTCACCCTTCCAAAAATATATTTGCCAGTTCAGTGCAGGGGAGGATTTGTGGTTCAGTTTTGCACACCCAATCCAAGCCTGAACCCAAACCTTCCGTTATTTTGTCTTCAATGTACTTTGCGAAGCCTCTACCAAATATCAGGTTTACGATGAAGGCTGCTAAAAGACAGACATTATGATAAAAGGGTGCATTCTTCTTTAATTCCTAAATTCAACGGAGGCGTATTTTCTATTCAGAATAGTTTACCGGGACTCTAAGCATTTTAATACAAACGGTTTAGGCCATAAAAGTGCATTATACCCTTAAAATTCAGGATAAACAAAATATCGAACTTCCATCTTCGAATCGTCCACTGTCATAAAAATTTTCAGAAATCAGGTAGCCTTTTTTTCTTACCACCGTGACATGACCGGACAGATCAGTCATGATGCTAACGTGAAAGGTCGGCTCAGAATCCTAAAGGGCGATTCGCATCGAGTGTCTGTGTGAAAATAACGGCATGGTTGCCGCAATGCATCACCAACTCGCGCAAGTTGCCACTCTTATGCATGACTTCCAGTCTCGTGTGGCTAAAAGCCCGCTGGCACATTACGTGCTGCTACTGCCGTCCAATCATTGTTTTTTTTATTAGCGATAGATTATTTTTATGAAAACTCTGCACGCAATACTGCAAGCATTGCATCATGGAGCCTATTTGGCAAGGGATAGGAGCGGAAACGTTTTGGCTTCGATTGCCCCGTTGACGAAGTAATGCATCTCAGCACTGCATTAAAAAGCTTTGCCTTGAAGAGTGAAACGCGAAAGCGTTATCTGGCCCCGTCAGCATCGCCTTCTCATTTGCATCCCATGTTCTTCCTGCCAGTGAGAAGGAAATCCGTCGGACACGGTGGCCTGGTAAGTAGCGTGTCTGTCTCGCCACCGAAGGGGTCGTCAAATTGAATCCCCAACTAAAATTCTTCAATTTTTCTTGTAAGGCAAACGAATTACTTTATACCCGAAATCATTTGAGACATGTGGCGACCACTGTACATTTCATGTAGCATTCGCGGTAATCTCATGTTTTTAATCACTTTCATTCCACGCGTGACGTCACGTGAGCGTGGCGGGTTGTTTAAAATTCCCTCGCGAGGTCACGTGGCTCTCGCGTCATAACCCTTTTGACCAATCAGGATTTTTGCGTCTACGATTTTCTCGTCACGCCACCGACGCCGGCTTTTCTGCTTCACAAGCTCCTTAACGCTGTCACGTTAGAATAAAGTCAGCGCTTGCTTGCATTGCACCCATTCATCTTCGTGAGAACCCCCGTTGAAACACGCATCTCCAACCGTCATAAGGATCTGCCTAGAGTTATCGAGGAGTAGGAGTACGACCGTCCGCGTCCCATACATTTCTGGCGGCCTAGCTACAACTCCAGAGTGCAGCCATGACCCTTCGGGCTCACGGACCATTTGAGTAGCCTAAAACGTTAAGGCCACTGTTCCTCTGATTCTGACAGTTAAGTGCTCTTTGGTCGCCCGATAGTCGTCTCACTCTATACTTTTTTGATGGACTGGTTTTATTAGAAAAGTAATATTATTCTCTTTTCACTGGCATCGCGAATAGAGGCGCGAACTCTCAATTGCTCCGTAAGTTCCCGTTTTGTCAAACTACTATTAAAAATTAGACTATTTAGATGATGCCTTCTTTTTGAGGAGATATGAGAGTAGAATTTGAGGAGGGCGTTTTCTTTAATTCTCTATTACTTCTTTTTATACAGCTCGCCAAATATTGCCCTAAGTTACAAACTTTCAGCGCGAATATCTTTTTTATTAAATCTTCTAGTGTTTTCGAATTACGTACCCATGTAGTTCTTGGCATTGTGTATATTCCCGAAATTTTTCAAATGAAGGTATGATGTTGGTGAAATATCGCGAGCATAATATTCTGTGTTCTAGAGGAGGGGATTTCTCATTTTGCTTGACGGGCTATTTAACTGCACTAAAATACTTGATAAGGTATGAAACTAAGGAGACATGCAGCAATGTGGATGAGGGCTTTTGATAATTTTTAAAGTAATAATAATGTACCAGCCTATTAGACTTTAACTAACATAGACATACATTAATATATATATTCGACTTTCCTTGTAATTCACACCGTTTCCTTATTTATATAAACGTTAGATTATGAATATATATATATATATATATATATTCCTTATTTATATAAACGTTAGATTATGAATATATATATATATATATATATATATTCCTAATCTAACGTTTATATAAATAAGGAAACGGTGTGAATTACAAGGAAAGTCGAATATATATATATGTATTTTATTGCGCCACCTGGCGGGAGACGAAAAACTGCTGATTTCAAATATTCAGGATATCGTCGAGGGCGGCTCTGACGGCTATTCACTATCATTGTGAATTTTTTTTCTCATTTTTTAGCTAGACAAGTTGAAAATGCTCGTACGGTTTATTGATAAATGTTTCATGCAGGTTGTGCGTCTGATTAATAAATTGGATGTATTAGTGTTAGTATTTGTTGGTGTAAAACTTGACGTAAGAGATTATGTTTGAGTTCATTTAAAACAGTACAACGGTGTGAACCTGACTTGATCAGGATCACGGTCAGGAGCAGGTCGCGGGAGCGGCGTGTCCGAGCAAATTACACGAGAGGCACTCAGAAGTTCGTCACCTCGTCGGTTTCAGTTCTTGGCAGTAGCAATGACTCTCAAATTTTCCTAACGAAAAACCACGATTAAAGAAACACTCATAGGTAATACCACTCATTCCGATGGAGTGTCCAGATTATGTTCGGTGCGCCTGTCTCTTGAATGAGGATAGATCGCGCCTGAATCAGGGACCCATCTATCTTTCGTCCCCATTATATCAGCATAGAGAGTACGATGAGACCCTTGGAGGGGCGGTTGTTTTGTTGTGCCATTCTTTGTTGTTGCCAAATGAAAAAGGTCCTGTTCCCTTCCTCGTCCTCTCTGTTTTATTCTTTCAAGATTTGTTACTGTTAAAGTGTCAGGAAACTAAAGAAACATGCTGAAACGCTTGGCTATCACACGTTTTTCAAAATATAGAACAGCTTTTATCATTGTTTATGTCGCGAGAAACTCTTTGAGATACTTTTGCTTTAAAAATAATTTCAAAACATGCCTCTTTTTTTTAGCACGTCAGCCAGAAATAGGGGAACATATTTTAATTGTTCACGTGAATTTCCGGACGTTACTATTCCTCTAAAGCATTTTATAGTTTATTTTGAGGCATGTGTTTAGACACTTGCAAATTTATTGCTTTTGCATTCAGTGTTTCTTCAAGGCTTAAGACATATGTGCAGAGCATTCAACTCTGGCAAAAAGGGTATTTTCTTTCGGTAAACCGCTAAAACTTTTTTGCTAAGAGGGCAGCTGAGATTTATGCACATCGAACGCTTTTTTTTTCATTTCTGTTTTCCAATAAAATTTCGGTTGATTTTCCGTACGTGTTTCAGCCATCATAGCTAAAACTTCTGAGAATTTTTAATGGATTTTAATTGTCTTTGTATTCTATACCTTGTTCTGTTTGACTGCTATATTCTGTTCATGCATGCAAACATATAAAATAAAACGTCAGGAAAACAAGCATTCGTATTTCGTTTTAATTTATTCTTGCCTTGGCAAAAACCGAAAATAACTCACATTCACGTCAGCAAAAAAAAAGGTGTAATGCTTGAATGCATATTACTCCGTTTTCCAAACTTGAAGCAAGATACTTGTTGTTAGCGCGTTTACTACCATTTTATACTGCCAGCAGCTTAACTGCGTATAAGTGTCACATTTTCTTTTCAGCGCAAAATCAAGAACTTTCACTTTTGTGTTGGTGTTTCATATAACTGTATTACTTTGTTTGTTTGTTTGTCTTATTTCGGACACAGGGTCACAAGGAGAAAGGACAAAAGGCAGATAAGCTCTGCCTGACGAGGCCCAGTCCCCTCAGTACACTGCAGCAGCAGTCAATGAAAAACAAATACAAAACATCCGAAAAAAAAACATCGGCAAGAAATAGGAGTGCAATATCATTGATCCCCTTAGTTCCACAAGGATAAAAATTACACGTCATATTTTATACAGTAGCTAAAATAGACCTGTTCATAATGCTATGCACAGTGTATGTAAAGACAAATTGACGTTCACATTTATTCCGAACAGCATGACAGAAGATACCTTTTTAAATCGTATTTGAAGCTGCAACGTGAAGCACTATTTAGTATCATTCCCATAACATGTAGATGTTTGTTTAGGAGTTGAGGTATCATGTATTCTAGTTTCTGGTTTTCATAGGTTGTTCTTAACCGAGGTATCCTATAGGATTCATGCCTTAAATCATAGTGAGTATTATTCCAAAGGAATCTCTCA